AAATAAAAGGATAGCTACAAGTAAAAAACAGGTTGGCTCACAAAAAGTTTAAAGAAATAAAATTAAAGAAAAGCATCATAAATTTAAGAAACTCAAATTGACTGTTATGAAAGGAGATGAAAAAGATTATAGAAGATCAAGAAAGTTGGTGAAACAGGAAATTAGGACATTAAAAAGAATGTATGAGAAAAGGTTGGCTGAAAATGTAAAAATTAACAGTAAGGATTTCTTTAAATACATTAAGGCTAAACAAAATGTTTGGATGGTGATAGGAACCTTGAGGGGTGATAAAGGAAGGCTAGTATCTGATGATTATGAGATGGCTGGGTTATTAATTTTTTGTTTTTAATAATGAAGTTTTAAGCAGTATTGAATCAGTAAATGTCCAGAAAACAATAAAGTAATTGAAATTAATGTTTCTGATTATTAATATTTTCAATTGTTTCAGCTATCCAAATCTAATGTGAGAATAATCAGTTATTTTAAAATAATTGATTAATGAGCCAACATACTAGAAATAATTACATTTAAACAAGCTAATATCTTATAATAGTTACATGAAAACTATTTTTTTATATATACAGATAAAAGTTATTTTACACTGAAAAATAAAAGGTACAAAAATACATAAGTTTGAATGTTAAATTCAAATTATCAAACTCACTTTACTTCATTACTGCATAAGAAATAAAAATCTGTTCACAAAGGAAGTATCTGTACGAGCTGCAACTATTCATGTACTGCTTCCACTGTTAAAATTCACATCTTATCTTTGTATTTTCCCGAGCTGATAACAATACTTGCATCACCTAACAGTTAAGATATAATTTCATGTATTTACACATATTCAACAAAGAATGAACACTAAACCAGTAAATCCAAAGGAATATAGAAAAAAATAAGTAAAATTATTGTTTAGGGAACATATTTACAATGGTAAGGCTTCATAGTACTGAATTTATCCTAAATACAACTGTTGAAAATATTCAAACTGATATGTAAAATATGCTATCAGTAATGACAGCATGTTGACACAAACAATCATGACGATGACAAAGGTTGGCATGATTTTACCAAAATATAAAAAAAAAGCACTTAATGATATACTGTTACAGCCATGGTTTTCTTTTAATAGATAAAATTTTTTCATTTTTGGAGTTATAGCGGTATGCACAAGTCCACTGTAGCTGACTGTTTCAGTAATAATTTAATTGTGAGCTTCACTGTAACAGAGCTAATGGCTTTCTACTTCACTTATAACAAAAAGAAAAAATAAGCTGATATTCTATTAAAAATAACAGTAAGAATATAAATATCCTAGTAGTTAGCATGGTTTTCATGATTATAATGATACATTCCACCATGTGCACAGAATCAGACCATTTCATACAGTATTACTTTACAAGGCTACAAGTATGGTAGCAGTAGAATAGTTAGTCATTTGTTACAGTATGTATAGGTGTGAAAAAACCTCTATATAAATTAATTTCAACCGAGTTCATCATCTAAGTTGATTACAATACAAATATCTAAGTATGGCGTAGTCTAACAATAATTTTAACTTTATCAACACTCACAGTAACAGAAAACATTATCAAAGAAAGTCTTATCTTAATAAAACTGGCTCATATACTTTAGTTTTCATAAACAAATAATGATATGACTGTAATATCACAACCATACAACAAAATAGATTTCCTACTTTGATAAGTGAAAAATGGTGGTATTTATATATGTATGAGGATTGTGATAAAGTGATAAGTGAAACAGTCAAAATCTTGAATAAAAACTGATAAACACACCAATAAAGGCACTAGAATTTTATTTTTAAGAAATATGTATAACCATGTGTGATGTTTCTCTTTTAAGTTTTAGAAAACTGATAAAGTTGTCAATTATTTACATTTACCTCTTAAGTTTGATTGGCTGATATCTTTTACTTCTTATCGTCAGTTCAGAACATGAATACCACTACGAATATGTCTAATTAATGTTACTTTAATATGTTATTTATAAAATGTACAAAAGGTAACTTCTTTATAGACACTTCCCTTCAAAAATGCTTATATCTGTAAAGGTAACAAGTAAAAAAAAAAGACACACTGTCACACACGAGTGCCAAATCAAAAAGTGATGATTGTGCTGTACAGTATAGAGGAAGTCAGCTGCACTAAAATGATGGTATCACACTCCTATTGGTGGAGGGTGGTCTCATGCTCATTTGCATGCTACAATGCATCTACACCACATTTAAACATGTGATGTAAGGTGGGAGCCACATGGCTAGTGGCAAGTGAAAATTGCCCATATAGAGGGCAGCAAAAATCAAGGAAACCTATTACGGGAATGAAGGCAAGGTATCGTATCAGAACTATATTTCAAAACATGTATAAAATACACTGTAATGATTAGAAGTAGGTTAAAAAACAATCTGCAAACCTCCTCCCCAACTTCACACTAGTGTTCTGATACCAATGATCTTACCTGATTCATCAAGATTCACCCAAAGTAGGTAATTCTTCATCTTGACCATTGCAGTAGGCATTGAATATCTGTAATAGATATCATCATACTATACTGTATCTAACACAAGAAAGAGATAAATGTTACATTAAGGAACATCTAACTAAATACTGACGATAAGTATTTTTAATTTCTCCATTGAAAAGTCTGACAATAAATTATTCAATGCATACCCCCCCTCAATTTCACCACATAAATACTTATTTTTGTATAAGTCTGTTTATGATCCTCGAGCCATTACACTCTAAAATAATAAGGAACTAATCAAGAACCAAGTACAAATGTTAAAACATATTGACCACATTGTTACAATTTGCATCTGTGACAACACACAACTGCAATAATGTATACTGTTGCGTCAACGAGTCACATGACTACTATGACGCAACGTTTCTAGAACTATCATGTACTTTGGCGAATGTTCAAGTTCTTACTAGATATAGGGTAGGCGGATATATATAAGAGGGGACAATGTGACGCGGTAGAGGTATAGATAGTGAGTAATTGAACTGCAGTCAGAGAGCACGAGAGATGTTACAGCGTTTGTTTAGCGCGATTGTTGAAGTTGAGTGTATCGGTAAAGTTATATTTGGAAAGAATAAACCAGTTTTTATTAAGAAAGAACTTGTGTCGCTTAAGTTTCGTCGGAACGAAGTTCAGAAAGTTAATTAACAAACGGAGACGTAACAATACGTATTGTTCAAGTAAATTGCAATTAAACCCTCAGCATGTATTCAACAAAAAATCAAATATTTATACAATGTGTATTTGAGAGAGCCATCCTAGTTACAAGTTTTCATACCAATAAACAAATCATAAAAAACAAAAAACATATACATTAGCATTTGATAATAATTAGTATTTCACAAGTTGTATATATTAAGCCTAATTCCATGACAGCGATACTCAGTTTTTGCATTACCTTGTATGCTGGCAAATACTTAAGTTGAAATGTTGTGTTATATTAAATTTTTTTTTCTTTTTCTAAAGTTGAAAGTATTTTTTGTTTTCTTATTAAAAATGATGAAAGTTAAACATCTGTATGTGTAGTTATTTTTAATGTAAAGCTGTAAGTTGTGCAATACAAATAATCTTGGGAATCTTGGATGGACAAAAGACTGAGGAAAATAGTTTATTTGAAGCATCATAAAAAATTATTTGAGATAATCCTTCGTAGTTTCGTGTGATCTTTTGGGGTCACAGACCATTCCATCAACAAACACAGAGGATGTGAGACAGCAAAAAATATTTTTAATTGTTTAACTATCTCAGTAAACTTATGCCTGTTGCTTTAGGTATACACCATAAAAAATAGCAACATTTGTTCTCATAACTTTTCCATGCTTAACTTGTTTTTTACATTAGTTATTAATACCTTCTCTTGAATTTTTGTTATTCTTTTATTTTCTAGGAAACAACAGAATACAAAAACAACATGAAAGACAAAGATCCATCAGTAAATATACATAAATAAATAGTAAAACATAGGCTCTTCAAACAATATAAAAAACATAAGTGTCATACAGAAACAGAAGATCTTCAAACAATATTAAAAATCTAAGAGTCATGGAGAAATAGAGATCTTTAAACAATATAAAAACATAACTGTCGTACAGAAACAGAGGATCTTCAAACAATATTAAAAATCTAAGTTTCATGGAGAAATAGAGATCTTTCAACAATATAAAAAAAACATAAGTGTCATACATAAACAAAGGATCTTCAACCAATATTAAATCCCTAAGTGTCATGGAGAAATAAAGATCTTCAAACAATATTAAAAAACAACAAGTGACATGAGGAAAGAGAAGGTCTTCAAACAATATTAAAAAACCTAAATCATGGTGAAATAGAGATCTTTAAACAATATCAAAAAAACATAAGTGTCATACATAAGCAAAGGATCTTTAACCAATATTAAAAACCCTAAGTGTCATGGAGAAATAAAGATCTTCAAACAATATTAAAAAAACAAGTGACATGCAGAAAGAGAAGGTCTTCAGACAATATTAAAAAACCTAAATCATGGTGAAATAGAGATCTTTAAACAATATCAAAAAAACATAAGTGTCTTACATAAACAAAGGATCTTCAACCCTAAGTGTCAAGGAGAAACAGATTAGATTAAAACAATATATAATACTAAATCACCAAGTTATTGTATCAGGATTAGAAACTGTATTACACAAACTGATATTGTCTTAAATTATAGTGACTGCTAAATGTTATATTTATAGAAGAAGAAAAGAAAAGCTCGTGGTAATATTCATTAAATGGTTATATATAATCTAGTAAACTGAAAATTTCATTGCAATAAAAAATGGGTGAAAAGAAAAAATTGATAAGTAAGTGGAAAATCTGGAAACATGTTTTTGTTTAATATTTTTTTTACCTCTGTCTTTTCCTTATTTATAATTTGTACTGTTGATTATCCCAGTTAATAACACGTTTTTTCTTAATACTGTCTGAAGATCCTTTGTTTCTCCATGACACTTAGTTTTTTTATATTTTCTGAAGATCATTTTCCAAAATTATATTATTGTATTCTACATATGTAAGATTATATGTAATTATGAGAAACATAAGATTCATATGTTTCAAGGTTTATGTAGAATGCTAAGTACAGGAAGCCTTTTAAGGAAAATAAGGATTCAACAATATAATACTTTTATTTTTCTAAGGAAATAGAAAAGTGTTATTTCCAAGGTCATGTAGAGATACAAACCCTTTTTGGAATATTTTAAAATCTTATTTTTTGTTGGATATCTGTCTATCCATTGCATATGAATACAAAAAAGTGAAATGGAAATATATGCAAAAAACAATTATATCATAGGTGTAAGGTCTAATAAGAGTGACTCCTGGATTCATGTTAATTTTCGTGTATGTTTTTCTATTGCAAGATTTTTAAGTCATAATTTTCATGTAGCATCAAAATGATTTTTTAGAAGCCAATTTTCTGAGTATTTTTTATATTATTTTATGCTAATACCAAATAGGCTACACTTTAATATTTGAAAGAAAATAAACGTGCAATAAGCACGTTTGAACTTTTTTTAAACAGGTTTCGTGAGCAACTCTCTAAAAGTTTGTTTACAAATTTAATGTTTTATTGAGTTCTGAGAATTCTTTTAACAAGCTCAAATACATGAATGACTAATTAAACTCTTTCAATGAGAAGTGAATAGTTACGGTATCACCACTGCCAAAGATGGTTTATAGGTTTAAAATAACTTTCAGAAGGAGTGTATCTTAATGTCCAATTATTTTATTGGGGGCAGTTAGCTAAGAATGCAATTAAGTAAATCTATTTATAAAATCAGGATTTTTGTGCTTCCAAGTGCAATGTTATATTATTTAAGAAAACTTTGTACATATATTTTAACTTTAAGAATTTCTGAATGACCAGGTAAAAGATTTTTCACAGTTATTCACTATAAGTTAGTGTTT